TTCGCAGGGTGATCGGATCCCCTGTGAAAAAGGAGGATTGACTGTACTTTTATTATTATTGTTATACTTTACATTATTTTAAATGGTTTCATATTAGTGCTGTTTTAACAGGATAGCTGATTTAATTTTTATAATGTTTTAAAAATCATAATCATTGGGATTGTTTGTTTGTTTTAGCTATACAGTACTTTGTTTAAATCTATATTGTGAGCTGCCTTGGATCCCATGTTGGGAGAAAGGAAGGATATAAAGAAAATAAATAAGAGTGACAGTTGTATAGGAGTGCAAGACAGAGGAGATGAGTAGTCTCTACAGCACAAAACATGAACAAAGCCCTGGGTGTTAGAGAGTAAGGAAAGTTCTAAATCAGGGGTAGGCAACCTAAGGCCCAGAGGCCAAATCCAGTCCTGCCGCCGCCTCCGCCCGCCATGATGATATTGATTATTGTTGTTATTACTTCTTCTTGGGGTTTTCTTGGCAAAATCTCCACAGGGGTTTTGCCATGGCTTTTCTGGGGCTGAGAGAGTGTGCATGCATATTTTTCTAAATTTTTTTTTTAAAAATTTTAATATTTATTTGTTTGTTTGTTTGTTTATTTGTTTGTTTTTTGGTGCTTCGGCCCCCCAATTGTCTGAGGGACAGCAACCTGGTCCCGGCTCAAAAAGGTTGTCTACCCCTGTTCTAAATAGCATGGTTATTATATCCCCTTGTTTGTTTTAATTCTTTTCTTGAAGTAGGTCCCTTCACTCTTCATCTTTGAATTTCAACTTCAAAGTTGATCAGTGTGTTCTGGATCTTGTGTTCACATAATTGGAATTTGTGTTCCTAAAGTCTATCAACAAATAATAAATTATTTATACTATTTCCCCCACCCCAGACCAACACCACAAGACTGTGGAAGGTTCATTGACTTCTCACATTTTCGTGCTGAGCATTCTGTTATCATGGGCAATACTAAATGTTTTTCTTTTGAAACCAAGCAAAGTTTTAAACAGTTAAGCTATTAATGAATTATGATTTGTATAGGATTTCCTGTTTCAGATAGTTTTTAAATTTAGCTATTTGAACTGCAAGGGTGGTCTGTTGCTGTTCCAGCCAACATAGAATGGAAAGGAAAACTGGTATTGTAGCAGTGGGCTGTACAAAATCAGGAGTGTTGGAAATTTAGTCATTAATCTTCCATAAAACCTGAAATAATTTTTAACCAAACATATTTGTTCATAACAAGAGCAGAGAACACTAAAGTGTTGTCCTTTTCTATTTTTCGTACAGATTAAATATATTAAGAAAAGTATTGGGAGACAACTTCCCACTCCTTTTTCTGGCAGAGCAGTATATGAAAAAAGCTGACATAGGCATTTGTCCCTAAGATGTAGAAAATGTCTCTGAATGCCTCTGCTCTCCTTACTTCATAATCAAAGCAAACAAAATGAGCAATTGATTTGAAAATATTAATTGAAGGCAAAATCATCTGAGAATATTTGATGATTATTTTTAATTCAGAATAAGCCAACTCGAGAAGCCACTGATTATACAGTTGGCCCTTCACATTTGCGCCTTCGCTTTTGCGGATTTGATTATTTGCACTTTTGATTAATATTTTCTCTCTATGAATCTCCAAGTCCTCCAGTGCAATTCTGCTGGAAGTTGACCATAGAGTTGTGCCGGAGAACTAGAAGTTCTTAGAGAAAACACTTCTCTAGGCATTTGTAGGTCCTCCAGCATGATTCTGTGATCAGCTTCTGGTAGGTATTGACCATAGAGTTGCACTAGAGGACCTGGAGATTCCCAGAGAGGTGTTCTCTCAGTAAAAAGAATAGTGATTTTTTTATTTGCGATTTTTTCATGTCCATGGGGGACCTTCCCCCCTAACCGCAGCAAATATGGAGGGGGTAATTCCTAATACACAATCAAGGCTATAAAATACATGATTTCGGTATTTTTCCTTTTTAAATAATATTAAATGTCTACATAAATTTACCAGAGATTTCTAGCTGTTTATGGATTTTAAAAATGTTTACCTCTGGAAGTGGAAATATTTTCTATGTTATTAATATTATTTATTTATGTTATGTATATAGTACTTTTCAATAGCAAATTAGTTTTTAGTTAATAAAAGCAAAATGATAAATCTTTATGAAGGCACAATGTAACTAATGTTTTCCTGAATTATTGAGAATGAACCTGTCAAGAGATGGATGGGGGAGATCCAAAGTGGAAGTGGATATCCCAGGATTGCCTGTCACTAGTAATTCTAGTGAACACTCCCACTCACAGGATTCAGATTTATGGCTCTTTTCAAACCTGACACATGTAGGGTTTTAATAGCATGCTATTGTAGCATTTATGGGAGAGAATGAAGAAAGTAGGAGCAGGAAGCAGACGAGGGAGTACAGACATTCAGTAATGGAAACTGGATTTCTTTTGTTCCATTATGCTATATTCAGGGTGTGATTTAGAAAATGTTATATGCAGAGTAATATAACATGAAGGCAAGTAGGAATAGGAACTCAAGGAATGGTGTAAAAAGTGTCTGTACAACAACATACCTGGGCTGTCCATATTACTCAAGTGGACTTTATTAGTGTTGAGTTCTGCATATGCAAAGTGTAAAAGGAAAGAAAGAAAGGCACTATAGAAATTTCAAGGAAATGTCAGGAGTATATTTGTGCAGCTGACACTTAACAATGGAAAATACATTGCCTATGCCTTTTCTGCAATTCAGCTAATACAGTACACAAAGTGCCCAAATGACAGCATTGTTACTTATTTCTACCAGACACTGGGTCATATGTGACCTTGGCAGAAGGACAATGTTAAATAATTCAAGATTAAGCTAGGTTGTGACCTGGTAAACTGGGAATATGCCAAATTCCTTAGCGTTCAAATGCAGAGAAACAGCCAGTGACAGACTATACAGAAATATAGGAGGTGCTACATGTAAATCTAGGCTGGAGCATGCAAAACAGCAAGTGTTTGCAGTGCAGAGAGGCTAGAGGGATACATGAAGGATACATGGTACAGGGAAAACATAAAACACCTGCTGAATCAGATCAATGGTTCATTTTAATCAAGTATAGTGTTGCCAGCAGTGGGCTTCCCAGAAATATCTTGATTTACCCCAAGAAAGTCATGGAGGCAACAGTCCTCATACAATTGGTAGTCAGATATAACTGATGTATACTGACACAGAACATGGTGACTTTATTTCATGTTCATGACTGATCAACAGATTCATTCTTGGAAAATTTCTGGAATCACATTTTAAAGCCTTCTAAACCAGTGGCAATTTTCTTCAGTTTGCCATTGCCATCCTCTGAAGCTGAGAAAGTGTGACTTGCCTAAGGTCAGCCAGTGGTTTCATGGCCAAGCCAGGATGCAAACCTTGGTCTCCAGGGTCATATTCCAATGCTCAAACTACTACACTACTTTGGCTTTTCAGATGTCCAGATGCATTATTTCATTCCCCTTTCTATGGATTTGTGTGCTGACATTACCTTTATCTAATTCAGGTTTGAAACATTTGTCACTTTTACACTAAATAAATATTTTCAAACAAAATAAAAGTCTGTTTTGGATCTTTTGTAGTCCTGTCTTGAATGTTCTATTAGTCCAGAAGGTGGACTAAATAAACACTAAAACATTATTTAAGATTATCAGACCAATATATTCTGGTCTATCTGATAAATAAAAGCAGTTAATTAAATGATTAAACAGCCAGAGTGGTGTAGTGGTTTGAGTATTGGAACACTGGAGACCAGGTTTGAATCCCAGCTCAGCCATGGAAACCCACTGGGTGTCCTTTGGGCAAGTCACACTTTCTCAGCATCAGAGGATGGCAATGGCAACCCCCTTCTGAAGAAACATGCCAAGAAGACCGTGATAGGTTCGCCTTAGGCACACCATAAGTAAGAATAGCTGATATCTAAAGTTATACTTTTTGACAAATACTTGATTTTTTTTTTTACATATTAAATACCTCCCTCTGATCTGGGAGCTGAGGAGTTAGCACCTCATCCTCTTTCACTTCCATTTGAAACTACAGCATGGCTATAAAAAGGTGAATCAGAAATTATTTAGTTATTTATTTATTTCCCGTTTTTCTCCTGAATGGGAGTCATGAATACTTTTATGAGGCATACATTTGTTACCTTGTCCTACTTGAAGGGCTTGCTTCTGTAGTCCCTTCACACACATTGCTAAGTACTGTACAAGTATGCAAGGAACAGCATTGTTTTGGATCTTAAGCTCAAGTCATAAGTGGTGAGAGTCAAATCTGCATCCCACCCCCCACCGAAACCTACTCACTGACTGCGCTACTAAAGTGTGTTTCCATGATCTATAGAGATGTGAAGGCCCAGGGGAGGGGGAGATGTTTCTTCTGGGGGAAAACCTAATTTCCATGGGGGGGGAATCCCTTTCCCCCAAAATTTTTCCATTTTTCCCCCCCAGTGCTTTCACATCTCTATAGGTCTATACTGACTCATGAATTGTTTTAAAACTCACTAACCTGAATCTTATTGATATCTTACACATGTATAACCTTCCCTACAAAAGAGGTTGGGCATTGTTGTCCAACGCACAACTTCTGCATTCAGTTCAAGTTTGCAGAAGTTGACTAGCATATGTTGTGTATGGACAGCCATCATATATGGAGGTGCATTCTTTGTAGATGCATACGTGCATTTGGTCATGAATTTGGCTGCTCATTTGGTGTCTTGCTTCACTTGTGCAACATTGACATTCAGCACAAGGCTTATGTAGCACAATTAATGTTCAACTCCTCATTCGTACAGTTATATTACACAGCATTGATAGAGGATCTCAGCCAGTGACTTTATAATCTAGTTGCATTACTTGTTGTTGTGTGCCTTGAAATCATTTCTGACTTATGGCGACCCTATCATGGCGTTTTCTTAGCAAATTTCTTCAGAGGGTGTTTGCCATTGCCATTCTCTGAGAGAGTGCTGACTGGTCCAGGGTCACTCAGTGGGCTTACGTGGCTGAGCTGAGATTCAAACCCTGGTTTTGAGAGTCACAGTCCAACGCTCAAACCACTATGCCACACTGGCTCTCCGGTTGCATTACTAAGGCTCTGCATATATTGACTTTAGTTCTTTTGAGAACTTGTTAAAATAGAATAATTAGAAGAGAAGAGAGCTGGAAGGAACTACAAATTTGATGTGGTTCTCTAAGGAATGCTTTAGAAACAATTTCCTTTAGGATTGTAGTCATAGATGAAGGCATTTTAAACATATGGTGTCTCAAGTGCTTTTAAATCCAATTGAATGTATATGAATATACATTGGTTGGGTGGTATACAAATAGGAATGTACGATGATAAAGCTCCCATTTTCTTCCAGATCTAATGTAATTTTATTTTTAAATTTATTTTTATTAATTTTAAAACAAAAAATGAGTATAAATCATACCAAAAAAAAGACATTCTGTTATACACGTAACATTTATATACGTACATTTCTTTTTTAAAAATGACTTATTAAAGTCAAGAAGAATCAAGATGCTTTATAATTGTAGATGGTTCTTAATAGATTCAGGACCATGCAGATTTTTGTTTTGGGTTGTTGTTTTCTTAGCAAATGAAAATATTTTAAATAAGCAAAAAAAAAAAAAAAAGACAATCCCCTGGCCTCAAGGAGTTTTCTACTTTACACATGTGGTGGGAGCATTATAAAAACAGCTACTCAGTGCTCCCCTCTCAAAATAATGACACGTTTCCAGCTTCTTTTGTATAACAGGCAGCTGGTCCTTATGAAAGCAAATGTGGCATTTGATGCAAATAAGCTTGCTGTGAAATATGAGAAAATTGCTAGTTTTGCATTTTTAAAAGGATGTATTTCACTCCTTTTGAGCTTTTACAGTTTGACCAGAAACAGTTATTTACTGAGAGAGGTATCTAAAAACAGGAAATGATGGGAACTTACATAAACAAAAAGAACTGAACTGGTGAGGGGAAAGTGTCCTGTGAGTAGGAGAGGCAAAAAGAGAGAGAGAATGTTAATAGACATGTTTGTACTATATCCTAACTTTAGGAAAGTCTTATGACTAAATTTGGAGAAAAATGTTTGCTTAATAATTAACTGGTGTTCTGGAGCAGTTGAACTTTGGCATATTTGTCTTTACTTTTTGGCAATCTGCTTTGTATCTTTAATACAACATTATTCAAAAATTTAAATGACTTCTGTTCTGCTGCTTTAGCTGCTATTTCACCAGGCATCTGCTTGTACATCTGAAATAGTATCCTATCCTATCTGACTTTGCCTTATTTGGTTCAGCAGGATCATCATTCCAGCGATCTCACAGGCCTCCTCTCTGACAGCGGTTGGCTCAAAGAGAGGACCCATTCAGAGCCAGAAATTAGAATTTAGTCAGCTTTGTGTAGAGGTGTGCCAGGCACATTCTGAAGTGTATAACCTTTCCATAGTGTGTACACCTATTCTCTTTACCACTCTGAATAAAATAGAATGGTTGTCTGAATGGTTGTCTGAGTGGGCCAAATAAAGTAGTCTCCACCCAGTTTGAAGGTGGGGCATTTAGATGACACATGCCTAAAAGCAAAGCAGCTTCATTTATATACCTCTTCATATCGCACTATGGGATGTCTAAGCGGTTTACAACTGTAAGCTCATTGCCCCCCAACAGCTGGGTACTCATTTTAGCAACCTCGGAAGGATGCAGGCCTGAGTCTAGCCTACAAAGTGGGCTAAAAACTAGAGCAAAAAGAAACCACAATAATCCAACTCAAGGTGGAAAATGTGCACTTTTGATCCTGCATATAAATGCCCTGACACATGAGTGGTTCTGAAGGAGATATCCATCCTAATCCTAACCCTGCATATAAACACACCAGTGCAGGTGCACATTAAAAAAAGATGGAGCCAGTGTACCCAAGAGGTTTGGGCGACAATACAAAAAAGTGAAAGATCAAAAGAGATGACAAAATGAAGGACACATGGAACGAAGGGCCATATGAAGATGAACCCCAAATTATGAAAACTGAGGTGGAAGCTGCAATAAAAGAAGTGGCAAAAAAACCAAGACTCCAGGAACAGATGATATACCAATAGAACTGCTGAAATCCATACTGACAGATTCTAGTGCTAACCAACATATGTCAACAGATATGGAAAACAAAACGGTGCCCAACAGATTGGAAACGATCAATATACATCCCCATCCACAAAAAAGAAGACAAAAGAGACTGCAGCAACTACAGGACCATAGCACTAATCTCCCATGCAAGCAAAATTATACTCAAAAGACTGCAACATAGACTCCAACCACACATGAAGAGAGAAATTCCAGAGGTCCAAGCAGGGTTCAGGAAAGGAAGATGCACCAGGGATCACATTGCAAATATACAATGGCTAATGGAACATAGCAGGGAGTTGTAAAAGAAAATCAGCATGTGCTTTATAGACTATAGCAAAGCCTTTGACTGCATAGATTATGAAAGGCTATGGAATGCTCTTAAAGACATGGGAGACCCAACACATCTGATAGTCCTGATGAGGAATCTGTACTCAGGCTACTGTCAGAACAGAACATGGGGAAACAGAATGTTTCCCAATTGGCAAAGGGGTAAGACAGAGCTGCATCCTATCACCCTACCAATTCAATTTATATGCAGAACATATTGTTAGGAAAGCAGGCTTGGACATGGAGGAGGGAACACTGAAAATAGGAGGAAGAAATATCAACAATCTGAGATATGCTGATGACACCATAGTACTAGCAGAGAACCTCACAGACCTGGAACACCTACTAAGGAAGATCAAAGAAGAAAGTTCAAAGGCAGGCTTACAGTTGAAAATAAAGAAAACAAAAATAATGACCACAGAGAACTTACACAGATTCAAACTAGACAATGAGGAAATAGAAATATTAAAATATAATAATAATAATAATAACAACAACAACAACAACAACAACAACAACAACAACAACAACAACATTTATACCCCGCCCCTCTGCATTGCAATCAGGGCGGCTTCCAACATAAAAATACAATACATTAAGATCAAGCCCAACCCTAACCCTCCCGCCTCTTAAAAATTATTAAACAACATTGATTTAAAACATATCTCATATTTGGGATCAAACATTGATCGGAACTTGAGCCAGGAAATCAGAAGAAGACTAAGAATGGGGAGAGTGGCTATGAAAGAACTAGAAAAGATCCTAAAATGCAAAGACATACAACTTAGCACAAAAGTCAGAATCATACAAGCCATCATATTCCCTATTACCATGTATGGATGTGAGAGTTGGACAGTCTAGAAAGAAGATAGGAGGAAAATCAATACATTTGAGAAGTGATGCTGGAGAAGAGTTTTGAGGATCCCATGGACAGCCAAAAAATCAAACAAATGGGTCCTAGAACAGATCAAGCCAGAGATATCCCTAGAAGCCAATATGACAAGACGTAGACTGTCGTACTTTGGACACATTATGAGAAGGCATGAATCATTGGAAAAGACAATAATGTAAGAAAAGGTGGAGGGGAGTAGAAAGAGAGGAAGGCCACATGCTAGATGGATGGACTTTATTAAAGAGACCACGAATATAAATTTGCAGGAGCTGGACAGAGCAGTAGAGGACAGAGGGCCTGGAGATGTCTTATCCATAGGATCGCCATGAGTCGAGACCAACGTAAGGGAATTAACAACAACAACAAAACACAAATCAGACAGTTTCAAGAGAGGGCATGGCATGAAGGGGACATGTAGAGACCCCATGATTGTGCTTTGCCAATGTTTTACTGGGCACACTGATGCTCTGATGCCCTGTACTGGTGGAGGCTTACAGGTGCAACTTTGTGGCAAATCAAAGGGTTGGCCATCCAGTGGGATGGCATCTAGGCAGCAGACAGTTGCTGATGGTGTGTTTTTGTGTGACAATGCTCAATCATGGTGGAGAGGCGATAAAAACAATTACCCAGCGGTGCAGCTTGACACCGTGCCATGCACTTGGGCCATGTGTATTCAAGTCACCTAGAGAACTGCTGGTACAGACAGCAGAGTTTTGACCTGCCTCCGGAAAATGCACATTTGAGCCACTTTTTCCTGCCCATCTGTTTCTGGACTGAGAAGCCTTGTCAGTTACTCTCCTGGACGTTAAAGGACATTTCTTTTTGTGTTGCTAATGGAGTTTAAATTTTATTTCCTGGACTTTACAACTCTTTTTCTCTCAGAGCCCACATGGCTACAAAAGAGGAATGGCCTCTGCCTGCATGGATATCCTTCCAAATTATTTTAACTGAGAACAACTATAACAATAACATTGTTATCTTTCTTTCTTTCTTCTATTAGATTTTTAACAGTTTTATCTGATGAAGGAGCCAGTGGAGCTTCGACAACTTGCATCATATATTTTGTGCATTTTGGTTGATCCAAAAAAGTTATCACTGTTTTGTGCCATTTGGATGTTACTATGTAATGACAGGAAATTTGCCACAGCAAAAATCAAGGATAATAAGGCTCTCTAGAGCACTAAGCCTACATGATGTGTCACCTGAAACAGTGAATTCCCCCAGCCTTGTGGGAGAGTCAGCCCAGCAGTCAACTGATAGATATGGAAAGTTTTGATAAAGCCCCAGTCTTTGTCAAATGTTAGAATGGATGGCAGACAATGAAATAAAATGATGCTAGAAAATTTATTATTTGGCAAATTGATTATCAGTATTGGGGCACTGCAAAACTTCGGCACTGTTTCTCATTCAAGGGAAACATTGTTTCCACTTTTCAGGGAACAGTAGTACATTTAATAAACTTTTGAAAGTGTTAGGTTTCCCATCTTTTAAGTTATTTTAGTGATACTTGTTGTGCTAAATTTCATTATTTCCTCCACAAAAGAGACAGATTGTTGTTGTAGTTCATTCACAAGCAGAAAATAAAGAATTTAAACAAAGAGCAGAATCAGGCATAATTATTTTTGGAACTAGATGGCCTTTAGAATATTTGTTGATGCAGATACATGATGAGGCAGAAATAGCACTTCATCACAAAATTTAAAGTAAACTTAATCTGAAAATATTTTTTATTGAATAAAC